TGTATTATTCTTAAAATATTGTATTCTTTGACCAATAATACAATTAAAATAAATAAGTATTGTTTATACTAAATTTATTTATAATTGGCTTATACATTTTTTTAATGAATTTTTACAATTAAGTTTCCTTGACAATTAGATGTAAATGTTGATTTTATCGACATTTCAGTTCACTTCGTTTTTTCCCGTGAAAAATAAACTATCGTCTTGTGTAATTATTAAGATTTATTTAATTAGTTATTGATATGGCAAAAAATATTTTTGGTCAAACAAATGAATCAAACTTACATAAGGTCATTCGCAGAGTTGAAGAAATATGGAATCGTCGTTTCATGCATTCTAATTGTGTTTTAAATAATACAAATAAAGGACAAATATCAAAAAATTCATCTAAAGATGGAAGAATTATCTGTAAACACTATTAAGATTAATAATTAAACTAACTATTTCGAATAGAGAAAAAGTTTTTTAATATAAAATATAAGAAAAATTAATAATAAGTTCTCTTATTCATATATAACAATAATTCAGTCGCTTTACTTTAATTTAACTATTTTAATATTAAAAACCTTTTTCGAAATTGATTATTTAATTAATAATTATTAAAATTATATTCAATTTGCAGCAATTATTAATAAAAATATTTATCCTATAAAAAATTCCATTATTCCAAAAAAACGCACGTATCGAAAAACGAATAAAAATGATAAAATTATTCCAGAAAAATTGGTAACTATAATTATATTAATATATTTATTCGATTTAGCTATGTTATTGGGGTTTGTCTGATTCAAAAATATAAAATAAACTATCAACCCCCTTAATATAAATGCGGTAACATAATGTTTAATATTATTCTGCTATTTTTTCTATTAGATTTTTATGGGAAATTCAATTTTTATCGAAGATAATAATATAATATTAAGTATAGTTTATTTGTTTATTTAAATATCTCTTTGGTTACCTAGAATATGATGCAGCAAAGAGAATTCGGAACACTTTTTCAGAATGAAAAATCTGAAAAATATAAAAATGAAATTTTAAATTCAACAGAAAAAAAAAATATAGCAATTTCAAAAGACAATCCGCTATTAATATCAGCTGATTTGTTAGAAAAGGTATATTTTATTATGCTTTATTTCAATAAAAAGATTTTAGGGTATACCCTAAACCATTTTTTGGACTTAAAGCAGATTTCTTAAATAAATTTATCATATAATTAAATATATTTTTATGATCCGTTAAGAGTTTTCATAAGAAAAATTTGGAACGCAAATCCGAAATAAAAAAACAACTTTTTGAGATATCTTCTAATACTACTGCTCGACCAAATTTAAAAAGAAATTCATCCGAAGAAGATGAAAAAGTCATAAAAAGTATACAACTTTTAAAATATAATTCATTTTTAAAAAATATGAAGTTTTGATTTTTGAAACAAATATGTAATATTTTTAAACATAAATTATTTTAGAGCCAAAAGTTAGTTCTAATCCTTTGACCTTAAATACGCCGAATGACGTAAATTTACTTGCTCTGTCCACTATTGAAGTAATAAAAGTACCAGAGAAAGAAAAAGGTAATTAGTTATTTAATCTATTTATTTTATGTAAAATTAAATAAAAAAAGATTATTTATTAAACATAATTAATTATAATAATACGAGTTAAATTAATATAACTTCTGCAGAGGCGTGTCATTAAGGGGGTCCATGGACGTTTTAAACAAAAGTAATTATACGTGTTTAATTTCATATTCCAAAACCTTAAATAAACCTAAATAATAGTAAACTGTTCAACAAAGTCTTTTATTAATTTTATGAAAAATGTTTAAATATGGTTACACTTGCAGAAGTAATGCAAGATCAGAACACAAAATCTCTTGATCAGTATAATGCACCTTCATTTAAATCGCCCACATCATGGTATACTTCAGACACAATTAATGAGTACATTAAAATGATAGTAAAACGGTCAGAAGGTGAAGTTTATGCAGTTGTCACTGATTTTATTGTAGCGTATCTTCGAGGAGGTTATCCAGCTGTAAGAAGATGGATAAAAAAAGATATTCACACAATAAAATTACTTTTTGTGCCCATGAATGTATATGAGAGTCATTGGATATTGACAGTGGTTAATATACCTGAAAAGACTGTGACATCATATGATAGTCTTAAGTCGTATGAGGGTCCCTATCCAATGGTATTAAAAAATTTCTTAATTGAATGGGAGATGGACAAAAAAGGAAAAGCTTCTACATGGACATTACAAATAGGCGAGACATCTCGCCAAACCAATGGACATGATTGTGGGCCATTTACTGTTGAGCTGGCAGAAAAAATGTCTCGAGGAGATACAACACCAATAAATGCAAATTTTATGCCTTTTATAAGATTAAGACACAAAAATGAAATTATTGCTGGCGAGCTATTCAATTAATATTTTTATGAATGAAATTTTATTTTTGTATTTTATATCAATTTTCTTAATATTCACTATAAATTGAAATTTTTATTTGTATACCACCAAACATTTTTTTACTTTTTCTATGTTTAATTGTTGTTTTGTTATTTTATTTTAATCTTATTTTTCTTTGTAACATTTCATTTAAGAAATTCAAATTTAATATAAATTTATCTTAACTGAAATAATTTAATGTTCTTGTTATGTGAATATACAAATATTATAATATACAGTTATGGATACAATTAAGTTAAAAAGTCAGCCAATTATAAATTTTTAAATTAACAACAAGCGTATCAACTATCTTAACTTAATTTAAATTTTACTAAATGACGATTCATAAAGAATTTCAGAACTTTTATATATTTTTTAAATACTACTTTAATTATAAAAAATTCTTTTCTGTATTTTTTATGAATGCGGTATATTGATTAGGGGTAACTAAACTTATTTGTTTATAATTCTCTAAACTGATAAACTATAAAATAAATTTGAAAATGAACTACAAGTTCAGAATATTTCCGTTGTTATTATATTTTTGCTACGGGTATTTTTGTTATCTAAATGACCCGATGAAATCCAAATAATTTCTAGAAATCTCTGATAAAATGTAGATAATTACGTGTCGTCGAATACTATCAAATTATCTTCAATTTTATTATTTATTTAAAGTACCATTTATTTTATAGTAAATAAATATAGTATATTATAAAAAAAGTTACTACCAATATATAAGGCATTTTTTTTAAGTCGGGGGGTGTCCAGACATGGAGGACACCCCCCCAAAATACGCCACTGGCTATTACTATAAAATATTTTTCAGTACTAAACTGTATTAATCTTGTTTTCGGTATCCAAGAACAATAGCAATTAAAGCAAATTTAAGGAGGTTAGTTTCCCTAAAAATTAAAGAAAAAAAATACGAATTAGTAAAACTAATAGTGTTTCAGCTACGCACCGTATATAATTTTTTACTTGCAAAAATGAAACAGAATTTTACAAATATAAACATTTTAGTTAAATATTAAACTATCCAATAATATTTATTTTATACTTAATATTCATAAATTAATAAGTAATATAATTAATACATTATGTAATCAACCTTAACTATTTATTTATATTTACAATTGTAAAAATATATTGAAATGAAACTTTACAATTTCCAGAGTAAATTATTTAACGACTTTATACTTTAAACGTTAAGTTAATTATCTTAACATAAATGACGGATCGGGGGGTTTTACTTGACAATCGTATAATATCAATTCCAAACAGTAATTTTATTATATATATATACAAACTAATAAATATTCAATATATAAATATATTAACATTAAAATAATAATAGTAAAAAAAAATAAACAAAAACGAAACATCACCCAGCCATCAGCCATCCATAGTGCAATGAACGTTGAATTGACTGCCAAAACGCTTCCCAATTAATTGTTCCTTTTGCGTATGAAATGTCAACCTGGGCTGCTCTATTTCCGTTGAGCACTCGCGTAATAACACGTAACGGGTAATATAAAGTGTTGGTTGTCACCTAAACAGGCCAATACCAACCAAAAAACAATCGAATAAAATTAAAAACACGCCAGCTCACTGGTCACGAGTCATCAGACCCAAAAGATGCGGTACGACTTCAATCGCGTACACCGACATAGTGCCCGCAAGGTGCCGGTAGTGCCGGACACGATTGTCGTCATTACATGGAGAGGGGTAATGCGATTTCTAGCTATTTGGAACTGGACCGGCTACACAGATAACTTTTGAACAACAATTGTACTATAAAATAGTTTTACTTATTTATTAAATTAAATCAACTAATTAGGCCAACCACCGCTATACTGTACAAATATAGGTGGGTGGGGAAGAAAAATTGTGTTACCGATAGCCACCCTATAATCAAATATTGGACAAGTACACAAGTGTGCACTAGTGAACTACAAGTGTAAACTTGTCAAGCCATTAATTCCTTTGACTTGTGTTACATTTACCGACAATCTGCTGGAAACTGACAAGTGACCAATAATTGTACAAGTATAGTGTTCCGACGGCTTGACAAGTATACACAAGTGACAAATTTTTGGCAAGTACACCAGTCGTGGGAATCCGGCTTTATAATTGTATATTAACTCAAAAAAAAAACCTTTAAATGTTTATATCTCAAAATAAACAATCAATGATTGTTTATATATATATATATAATTTATGACACACACGCGTGTATGAGTACGAAAACCAAAAATATAAAATTATACAGAATTAGTGTTGTCGTCGTGTGTTGAGCAGGGTGGGGTGAATGCGTTACGACAGTCTAGTCTCAAGGCCATAGACGACGGGATACCCGAGAATAATAACACGTGGCGCGTAGAAAGTTACAAACACACAACATACATGTGAAACTAGTTTATATTAGTTGTACGCTTATGCGCCACATAATAATATGATTTACATATCCTGTAAAAGTTATTTGTAAAATAAAAATTAATAACTGTATTTTTTTTAATGTCATAAAAAATAGATTTATCTTTTTATACACACATTTTGACTAACATATCTATGATATAAAATAATAAAGCACTCATTTGAATATGTTCATTTTAAATATCACTTAATTTTCAACCAGTTATTTTTAATATAAGTATTTTATTTTCAATGGAATTTTATTCGTTGATTTTAATAATGTCTGTAGTCGTTTTAGCTAAAAAACCAGATGAAGAAACAAATTGTAATCCTAAACGAGTTAATAATTACCGTGAAGATTACAAAAATTACATCAAAACAGTGATTGGTCACATTCGCACAAATATTGGATCAAATGAAATGCTTAATATAAAATTGAAACTAGATTCAATTTGTATTATTAGTATAGAAGAAGCTTTCAAAACTGAAACAATCTACCATAATTTCAAAAATAACTATTTTTATACAATAAGTCTACTAAATTTCAAGTATACTGAAATATTAAAACACTTTCTCGATTACATAGACATTATTCTCCAAAAATGTAAGCAATTTCATGAAAGAAACTTAAAAGAAAATTTTATTTCTTGTGTAACGTCACTTGTTGAAGAAGTGAAAAATTCTAAGACCATGTTTGAAAATCTCTACAATGCTATGGCATTTATAAGCTATATAGATGTCAGATTTTTGTTTAAAGGAGCAATTATGCCGAATGTTATAATTGATGAAATAAACTTTTTTCTAAAATACGCATTTCAAAAAATATCAGAAAACAGCCATTTAGATCTCAACAGTTTACCAAGTATTGAAGACTCGAAAGTTAATTTTAAGAGTTTAAATGACTTTCATACAGTAGCATCAGATATAATAAAAAATCTCTATCAAAATAGTTATGTCATCAACACTTCTATAAAAACCAATTCGACATCCAATCAAATTAATGAAGATGACTCTTACCTAGTCTATTTAACATGTAGTAAACTTAAATCGTTTTATAATGAAAACATAGAAATCTGGTATAAAAATCTTGGGTTTGAACAATTTCTCGATCCCAAAACACCCGAGTAAGAATGCCCATTTTTATTTATTTTTTTAATTCTATATAAGAATATTAATAATTTAATATGTTTTTTGAAAATATAACAAGTTTATATTATAGGCTTAAGGCCTGTTTTATTTAGACAAATTATAAATTGTATTATAATAAATATAACTTAGCCTTTGTACAAATTTAAAAAAAATTATTTTTCTACAATATAAACCAATAATAATGATCAGTTTACCATTCTTCTATTTTCCAAACTAAAAATTCTTCATAAGGATTTGACCCTTTTTTCAAATGTTAGAAAATCAAATATGGTTGTTGGCTAAGCTAATGGTGAACTAAACGGATATTATTTTCGGTTTGCATTAGAGAATAGACAACCCCAATGAGAAAATCACAAGAAAAATCTCATTGGCATCCTGGGAATCGAATACGAAACCATGCGAACCGATTCATACGTTTATACCCTCTAGTCCAGGCTCATCCCTAAAATAAACAAACTTAGTATGTTTGTTTATTCCTTGATATATTTAATTGTTTATTTGTAAAATTTAAGATGTCTTTTAAATTAGTTGAAATTATGAAAAAAAAATACGTTTTGATAATATTATTTAACATTATTTTGGTGTCGATTTTTGAATCATTATAAGCACCATTTTCTATAGCTCTTCAATGTGCATTTATTTACATTAATACCTAATTTTGTTCGTAATAAAATTGAGCTTAAACTTATTCATCCTAAATTTTCAAAATTGTAAATAAGCTTTTATGTTATAATATATATAATGTAACTATAAAAAATTAATTTCCCGAAATCATATGTTTTTCCTTGATATTTTAATATTATAATACAAATATTATACAATGTTTCATTAATAATACTTAAATATATTTCATTAATAATCGTAACATTTTTTTATACAGATTCATACCTCCAGTTGATCCAAATATTAATATAAATATGGCAATTAAAGCTTTCAATATACTTCGACAGGAATCTGGTTGGAAAACAATGGAACATATAAATATAGTTTATAATGAAAAACTATTTAGCGTAGATTATATAATGAAAGATCCAATAGATAAAATGAATTTTCAAATAAAAAAAGAACATTTAATACAATTAATAAAATGTAGATACACAGAAATAATTAAAAATTACTATATAATGGTATCTGCAATATTGTCTATGTGCAATGTAGGAGTAAACCGATTCAACTACAATTCTTTGATTAAATTCTTTGACTCATTCAACAAATCTAAAATAATGTTTATAGGTCTGAATAAAGCCTTAATTACTTTAAAGAAATCATCACTATGGAACTTTACTTCTTTGTCTCATACGAATTTACAAAAAATATTAAAATGGGTTGATGATTTTCTTTGTTTATTGAATAACAATGAATTTTCTCAAGACAAATTTGTTAATACAAATGGTACTAAAAAAACCGACATTATAGATAAAACATTGAAATATTTTCTAAATTTTCTTAAACAATTTAATATTGAACTAAATACCAATTTTAAAACCATGAACTCCCGTTGTAATATGAAAGAACCTTATTATAAAAAATCCAAATTAATAAAACATTTCAAGTATTTAGGAAGTAAAATGAGTACTTCATATTATGAACAGTCAATCGAAATGTATCATAATGCATGCAATTATTTTGACGAGTTTTGTGAAAATGTTTACAAATCTTGTTATGAAAATTTAGGATTCAGAAAAGTTAATCGTCTCAACAAAACCTCTAATGAAATAATAATGGTGGATTAGATTGATTATTCTCCTACTTAGTCTTTACTGTATAATAAAAGCTAAGTATCAACCAGTTGCATTTAATAAGTAAATTACATAAAATTATTTCTACAGTAAATTTACTAGATCACTTGATTACAAGATACATTTAATATTAAAAAATAAATTTTTTTGTAAATTTCCTAATAACACATTATTAAAAATTTTTAGTTATATTTTTTTATAAATATAAGTTTTTTAGATTTAGATTTTTTCTTAGATTTAATAATATTGAAATAAATAAAAAAGGCAGATCAGTGGGGTCGCGGCATAGTGTGAAAATGACATAGATGGGACAATTATTGATGATATCTGACAGTGATAAAAATCTTTATCATAAGAAGCGCATCATTGCAAATCTGTAGATAGTGTTTAATTCTAAGAAATTGGTGGATAATTACAGTACCAACATCAACTCTTATTTCCTTAAGTATATTCTGATTAGTGGTTCGTTGATTTAAATATATAATATATGAATTAGGGTGGTCCTTATCTACATAGGTCTTTTTTTTTATTAAATTCAATCAGGACGCCCACTAGAATTAATTTATAGGTTAAAAAATATATTTTGTGAAGTATTGTGATTGTCCAATGATTTTTTCCCTTCCGCAGAAGGATTAAAATTTAATAAATAGGGTTAAAAATTAGATTTTTACGTATAACTTGTTAAATTTTACTTGAATCAAAAAAATTTACCATATAAAATATGTTTAAAAATGTATTTCCTGCAAAATATGTTATTTTATGTTTTACTCTATATTGCATATTTAATTAAATAATCAATAAAACACATAAATACGCTAATGTTTCCTCGATTCTAATTTTTTGAGTAATTCAGTCTTTATTAGCGTAATCGACAAATTTTTACAAAATCTATATAAATTATAAAATTTAGATTTGAAAATTATATACAAATATTGTTTAGTAATATTTTTTTCTAAATCTTAGTCTTTCCTACGAATATGTACATTGTACAGCGCAAAAGTGGTTTAAAAATCAATCACTAACATTATGATTTTAATCTGGTTTGGGAATTTTTTTTACATCAAGCTGTTTGTATAAAATGTGGACTTTGTTCTGTCATCGTATACCGGACTAAAGAATACTTTGAAATCGTTGCGATTATTACGATAACACTATTTTACTGTTATAGTGATATCTCTTATACAATTTTATTGCAATTGCTATTTCTAGTTTTAGTTCTAAATCTGTTGGAGTTTTTTTTTATTTTGTATTTTTTTTAATAATGAACACCAGATCAAGGGACAAAATTTACTTAATTAATTATAATGAAAATCAAATTGTCGGATCAAAGTTGCCATCAAATATTGAAGTATTGAGGGTAATTTTTTACAATATGAGGAAAGTAAAATTAAACTTGCGAACCAGTGCTCATTTGGTTATTAAAGAAGTTGAAGTATTCTGGGAAAAAGCAAGAATACCAGTCAGAAAATTTCAAAGGTGCATCGACAAATTGGAGTCACTGTATTTAGAATGGAGAAATTTAAACAAAAGCTCTAAAAGGACATCATTGATCCACGAAAATAAGGAAAAGGATTTCATTGGAAAATTTAACGAATTGTTCGATATTTCACATGCAAATGCCATGGAAATTATGACTATTGAAGAAGATAAATTATTTTTGATGTGTCAACGAGATAAGGAAACAAAAGTTTGCATGGCTAGTTCAGATTATAACTTATACTTACAGGAAAAACATGAACTAACACAAAAAAGCTTGAAAGAACAAAAAGATTTGAAACTTCAAAAATCTCAATTTATGTTCAGTAAGTATTTTATTATTAATATTTCATTAGTTCATAAATTAAATAACAAAAAGTATTTTTTTTTTTTTTGAACGGAGTAGTTATTTTAGACTGTAGTACAAGTAGTATAAGTAGTAAATAAGAAGCCATCATGTCTTGTGATGTTTCCGAGTCTAATTTCATTGATGAAAATGAACCTGGACCATCCTGTTCAAAAAAAAAAAAAAGAGGCAAACGACAGTTTATTACATCAAAACTTGTTGCCGCTTTTGACAAATGTAAAGTAAGTGATAGAAATGCCATATACTTGTTAATAGCAACTGTAGAGGATTTATTTAAAATGCTGGTTTTCTGCAAATATTGCTATTGAAGATCCTCGCATAGACTTAGAATGCATGAAAAATCTTTATGAATACATAAAAATTGACGATGCCGTAGGTTAAATAGCACTTAAGAAATTTAGCAACCACTTATGATATGTCGCGCCTGATAAAGCCTCAATGGCATTTTTTGATGATCAAATACCTGTTGAAGTAAAAAGACTTATGATAAAATCATTACAAAGTAATGAATTGATATTAATTTTCCATAATATTTTTTTAGTTGTGTTTCTTTATAATTAAAGTTTATTTTTATTATTTATTAGTTTTATATTATATGTTTTAATCAATTGTATGTTATAAGACCAAGATTTAGATTTAGAAAAAAATTTTACTAAACAATATTTGTATATAATTTTCAAATCTAAATTTTATAATTTATATAGATTTTGTAAAAATTTGTCGATTACGCTAATAAAGACTGAATTACTCAAAAAATTAGAATCGAGGAAACATTAGCGTATTTATGTGTTTTATTGATTATTTAATTAAATATGCAATATAGAGTAAAACATAAAATAACATATTTTGCAGGAAATACATTTTTAAACATATTTTATATGGTAAATTTTTTTGATTCAAGTAAAATTTAACAAGTTATACGTAAAAATCTAATTTTTAACCCTATTTATTAAATTTTAATCCTTCTGCGGAAGGGAAAAAATCATTGGACAATCACAATACTTCACAAAATATATTTTTTAACCTATAAATTAATTCTAGTGGGCGTCCGGACAAAAATAACTTTGAAAAATAAGAGCCACCCTAATATGAATAAATACTAATTGTAGTAATTAAATTTAGTATGAAATTGGTATTCAATAATTTAATATACATTAATTTAAATTTATACGAAGAAATTATAAAAATAATAAAGTAGTTTTATATTTCTTTACTTTTAACGCGTTTACAAATTTAAAAGGCTTGATGCAATACTTTTCAATAAAAAATGTTTGTTACTTATAAAAAAATTATAAGTTTTATACACTGAAATACAGGGAACTTTCGTCACAAAAATAATATACTTTTCTAAATCAACATTTCGCGATGTTTTCAAATGTGCAATTAAACTTTTTTATTACTTCTAAGTTTTAATACTATTAACGTATTATTAAAAAATAAGTATTTACATATAAAAAAATAATTAAGAACAAAAAAAGGTTGTTTTAAATTAATAATGATTTTGATTATTAATATGTTAAAAATATGAAAATGACATATTTAATGCATTTTTTTAATCGTTTAAAGTAGATTTTTGTGAAAGTTTATAATTAAAAAAAACCCAGCACAGGGGGGTCGCGGTACAGTTGTGACGTGGTATTGTTGGATCAAGTATAATGATATCTGACAGTGATTAAAATCACTATCAAAAAAAAACGCTTCGATGCAAATCTTTAGATAGTGTTTAATTTTAAAAAATTGGTGGATTATTCCAAAAGCTACATGATCTGCTAGTTCATTATTAATATCCTGATTAAGATAAAGTATGTCGAATGAAAAAGGGATTATTAAAAAATATTATTTCTCATAAAAAAATAATGTTGATCCATACACTTTTCAATATGTCATAGCATTATAAAGTTAAAAATGTAAAAAATAAAATCGAGAATTTTCACACAATAATAGCATTTGGTAGCCATTGTCACAATAAAGATAAAATAAAGTCCGAAATTTTTATTTTCCATAATAAAGTAAATTACATTATCTTTAACTTTAGATACATATAAAAGTGTCAGACTTTCCGGAACACTTTCAAAATTTAAGTTGAAAAAGTAAATTTTTTGTGAAAAAGTTGTCATTTTGAATCAATTTGTAGGCAGGTAAAAAGTCAGATTTGTAAAAAAATATAACATAGGTAAAGACATCATGCATCTATAAACAAAAGAATTATATTGATCCATATATCTTTCAAAAAGTTATAACATTATAAAGTTTAAAATATAAAAAATAATTGTTTTACAAAAATCGTGTTTTTTTTATTAACTTTGATGTCTGTTTTTACTATGAAGATAAAATAAAGTCTGAAATTTTTTTTTTCCATAATAAAGTATGTTACATAAGCTTTGATTTAAGATATATAAAAGTGTCAGTTTTTCCGGAATACTTTCAAAATTTAAGTTGAAAAAGTTAATTTTTTGTGAAAAAGTTGTCATTTTAAATCCCCTTTGTGGGTTGGTAAAGAGTTAAATTTATAAAAAAAATATATCAAATGATAGGTAAAAACATCAAGCATCTATAAAAAAAAAATTATATTGATTTGTTCATTTTTGAAAAAGTTATGGCAGTTTTAAATTAAAAAAATTGAAAAAATTAGCAATTTTTAAATTTGTAAATTTTTTGGAGATTTCCCCCATTTACAGGGAACGAGGAAATTTTTTTCAATTTTTGAGGGTAATGTCTCTGACTAGATACGATTTGTGATCTTTTGACGTATCATTGAAAGAAATCGGTTCGGTGAGAGCTGAGAAAAAGTGGTAAAAGACGCAAAAAAAACAAAAAACCCAGCCCAGTGGGATCGCGGCATAGTGGGGCGTTGCATAGTTGGGTCCAGTACAGATTTAATCTGACAGTGATTAAAATCACTATCATAAGAAACGCTTCGATACGAATTTGTAGATAGTGCTCAAAAAATTCTAAAAAATTTATGGACAAAAGCAACATCAACTTCTATTTCCTCAATTATACCCAGATTAGTAATTCTTTCAATGATATATTATATAATTTTTAAAATTAATTGTTTTAAATTTATTATTGATTTTGATTTTTAATATGTTAAAAGTAATCATTTTGTACCTACTTTTTTTATCATTTAAAGTGAAAGTTTTAATAAAAAAAAAAAATGAATTTATTACCATAACTTTTAGCTCAACTTGCAAGTTTGAAATTGACATTATTAAATACAAAAAAATGAAATTGTTAAGATTAATATGCAATAAGAAAATTTTATAATTACTTTTTAATTTATCAGAGAAATTCGATTTTTTTTATATTTTTATCGTAATAGATCCCTTAAATAAAAATCAAAGTAATCATTTCTAATTAACTTTTGGTGTTTAAAAAGATTCTGCAATGGAAATATTCAGAATTTATTAATTTTAATGATTATATATCTAAAAAAACTAATAAAAAAAAGTTGTTAAAAAGATTTACTCAATTGAGCGTATTATAAAATTTGATTATAATTGTAAAAATCCATATTTAAATTCAGGTGAAATTAAAAATCATTTTTCTTTTTAAATTTATGATTTATATAGCAACATGTTACCATAAATTTTGAAATATTATAGTCTAATAGTAGCACTCACAAATAGAGCAAAAAAATGAATAAATTACAAAGTAAAATTATTTACTTTTGTAGTTGAATACTTTTATCATATCAAATCTAATTCGACAATAAATACTTTAAGAATATTAGAAATTAATGATTTTAATTGTTTGTATGGAAAAAGCTGCTTAAGCTACTTTTATTTACTTATTATTTTATTTTTCTTGTTGTGGAAATAAATATCAAATAATATTTTAAACGTTACATCTTTTTAAAATTATTTTATTTTAATAATAAACCCAACCTAACTTTAGATTTTTGTTTAATTATAAAAATTTATTGTGAGCTTTTCTTATTGGATAGCTAGTCTCGTTGCTAATGTCTTTGTTTAAATAAACATCGCGCCGGCAGACAACACAGAGAAACTTACGAATATATTTGCAGTGTTTAATTTTTGTCTTGGTAATTATTGTTCCGCATCCTTTCAAGGTGCTTTATTTTAGCACCGGGACACATTGGGCCACCACAATTCTGCCTTGATAAATTTTTTACATAGATATAGATATTTCTGAATTTTGTTTTGGCCAGGCCAGAGGAAAATTTAAGAAATATTGGTATTGATCTCTCAAAAAAAAAATATACTCTCTAAAAAAAAATACTCATTCAATAGACGTAAAAAAATCAATAAGTAAAAAAAAATCAAATTGTTTTTATAATAAAATACAGAGTGTTTAAAATCTTTTACAAGTAAGATCAGTCTTAGACTTTGTGTAATTAAATCATATTATTTAAAGTCTTGAATCGTTTTTAGTAATTAATTATATAGACTATATGACATATAGTGTAAATCGTATACGTAGTGCGTTTAATACGGAAATCAACACTGGATTACTTGAAATATTATTGTATTATACAGGACGTATAAATTAAAAAAAATTAATTAAAAATCTATTAAATAGAAAATTTTATGAGAATTAAAAAAATCTTATCGTTAAGATTAATATTATAAGTAGTTTTATAATTACTATTTATAATAAATTTATCAGAAAAGCTCAATATTTTTTTGCATTTCTATTGTAAGAGATAACTTAAATAAAAATAATAATAACTTTTGGTGTTTAAAAAGATTCTACAATTGAAATATGAACTGAATTAATTTTAATTATTTAAAGCTTAAGTTTTAAAATATTTTTTAAAAATATTAAAAAAATTTAATTGTTTAAAAAATTACTTATTGCTTTTTCAATTTACATGGTAGTTTTTATGAAGAGTTATATAGAAATTCGGGTTTTATGTAACCCCATTGTTTTATGAAAGAACTGTCTTATTTAAATTTAAAAGTAATAAATTATTACAGGATTTTTGTAAATACTTAATAACATATGAAAATTTATCATTTTGCATGTATTAATTTATCAATATTTAAGATGAACTGGGTTTTAGGAAACTTCGCTGTCTCAATAGCTAAAATAGAAAATTTATCTCATTTATTTTGTATTAGATGAATTTTTTATTGACTTAATCTTCATTACACAGTAATGTTGTTCCATCCAAGAGTTGTTATGAACCAGTAATT